AAAGAGGCTAATCTTATTTATTAGACGGGTCATAAGAGTATTAGAATGCAGGCTATTTATACCAGTCTAAGGGTTGTATCATCAGAGACACAAATTTGCTAATGAGAAAACAGGTAATAAAGAATAATGATTAGGGACCAGCTGGTGGTTAAGTTAAGGAAGTTGGAATCCTACATGGCTGACTACAGTATTTGAATTCCAGACCCAGCGGCTTGAAAAACACAATGGGTTTATGTATATGCCTGCCCAAAATCTCAAAAGGAGGGGTAAGTGGAGAAGAGACTGCAGAGTGACTATTTCCCATGAGGGGTGCTTTTTTACTTTCTCTTAGTCTCTAGTGAGCACACAGACCTCTGGGGGATGGAGGAGGGGAAGAATAATGGTTAGGAGTGTTATTTTGGAGACAGACTATTTCAAATCAAGTCCTGGCTCCATCATCTTATTCACTGAGTAATTTTGGGCGAATTACATTTTAAGTTTAATTTTCTTATATATAAAATTGAAAGGGTAACAGTACGTATTGTCCATAGGATTGTTGTGAGAGTTAAATAAAATGTAATGTGCTTAGTATATATATGGCTCAGTGTATGCAAAGTCCAATTGTTAGCTGCATTATTATTTTTATATTGGCTATTATTTCTTCCTATTAAGGTTTTCTCAAAGATGGGATAAAATTATTTCTGTTTGGAACTTAAAATCTGGTGTAGTTAAAAAAAGCACTCCTACCTGGTTAAAAAAAAAAAAAACAGCACAAAACTAAACTAAGATTTAGGGCAAAGATGAGCAGGAAAGGGAACAAAAGCCCATGTGAAATATCCTTCAATAAAGAGAAGGGATGTTTCTTTTCTACCCTAAATATTTACCTTAGTTCCAATACAGACAAGAAAGGACAAGTAAAAAAAAAAAAAATAATCAAGAAGTAGATATTTGAAACCACTTTAGGGATGGTACCTGCCTCATTTACTCAGTTATACTGAGCTGTTGGAAAAGTCATGATGCATTTTTGCATAGAAAAACAGAAAAAATGTCATGATTTTTCTGACAACCCAATACGTTATAGATGTTCTTAATGGTCAAAAATTGACAATACTGGGAACCAGCAGTTAGCGTAATGGCTATGTCGCTGGACTCCCACGTAGTCGACCGTGGTTCGTGTCCCGGACCCGGTGGCTTAAAACTCACGCCGGGCGCGTGTGCGTGCGTGCCCAAGATCTCGAGAGGAGAATGGAGGAGAAGGGATTGCGGCGTGACCATCCCCCCTGGGGGGTGATTTCTCGCTTTCTGTCTCTATGTCTCTCTCTGTCTGTCTGGCGAGCGCACGCGCCCTACAGTGAAAATCTCTCAAAAAAAAAAAAAAAAAAGAAAAAAAAAATTGACAATACTATAGACGGACGGTTTTCTTCTCTCTTGGAGGAATTCAATGCAGATTTTAAATGGAGAAATATTATATGGCAGGGGAAACTTCATGCAAAATGTCATAGTAGAAAAAGAATAATGAATTACTTGTGAAACATTTCAACACAGCCATGTTACCAATACAATTCTCAAAATGTAACAGTCAAAGAAATTAAAAGCTAGTTATTTCCCCAAGTAAATCAAATTGGTTTAGATGAAATTAAAGAATCAACTTACACGGATAGAACATTAACTCTATACATGACTAGATTTATTCCTCTATAAGAATTGTTTAGTTCTAATATCTAATGATAAAATGATTGATAAAATCTTATTAGACTCCTTGTATCTATAACATTATATTTCACAATATAAAATATCCAATTGCTTAAAATTTTTTATGAGGAAGCTTACCTGATGGCAATGATAAGACAGAATGGAAAGAGGAATCTAATTCTGATACATGTTCTCTTAATATTTGAGACTGTGAATTGAAGTCATAGCCATTCCAAGTTGAAACTGACTGCAGGCAAGGCATTTTTGTAGTATTTAAAAATGTTTCTTTTGAAGGCAAAGTCTGCAAGGAAAGAAAATTTCAAGAATTCATTTTTTGCCTGAAAACTGAGAGAATATCAGTTATAACACAGTACCTAAATGCCACAGAAGAGTCCTGACCTTAAGTCACCTTGGAGGAAGAACTTCGAAGTAATATATAATAAGTGAGAGAAGCTATTGAAAACCCAGCCATAAATCTGGTGAGATTTAACTAGCACCTTTTCAGTTATCAAAGTGAAGAGCAATGTCTATGAAAATGAGTCTTTCACCCATCTTAGGAATTCACAGTAAAAAGAATCATGAATATGGCATATCTCTTCACTTATCAAGGTCATCTTTAATTTCTTGTGATAAAACTTTATAATTTTCTTTTATAAAAGTCTTATACATATTTGTTAGATATATTCCTATTTAACTTTAATATTTATTTTAATTGTAAATGGATTTAAAAATATAAATAACATATATTGAACATATCTCACTACTTTGCTAAGCTTTTATTCTAATAACATATTTACAGAACTTCTCTTAGTATTCTGTATTCTAAACATATTATTTGCAAATGTTCTTTCATTCAATCCTAATACCTTTATTATTTAGGGGGTTCCAACCATGCTGGATGGGCTCACCAGTTCAGGAATGAATAGAAATGATCATAGGAGTTATTCTTGCTTTGTTCCTGATTAAAACAGAAATGCTTTTAATTTATCATAATTAACAATTATATGGATTGTAGGATTTTTTTTGGAGGAGGCATGTTCTTTAACAGGATATATTCCTAGTTTTCTGAAAGAACTTTTCAAAATATATTGATGTCGAATGTAATCATATATTTTTCAGAACTTATTGAAATGACTACCAAACTTTTCTTCTTTTTAATATATTAATGTGGTCAACTGCATTAGCTAATTTTGAAATATCAAGCCAAATTTGGATTATACTTGAGAAATTTTCTTGGGTTTAGTCAAGTTTCTGAATCCCAGCAATTCAATTTATTGACTTTCTGTATTATATGCTTGTTTATATTTTATTGATTCCTACCTTGTTTCATGATTAATCAATTATTTTATCATATTTTTCTCTTATGTTAACTTATACTTATGCATTACTTTATTTTTCTTTTAGTGGTTTCCCTAGAGATTACAATGTACATAGTTAACCTTAATCTATTGGCTTTATATTGGGTTGTTGTAAAAGTCACTACATAGTTTTTCTATGTTTTTCAAAGGTCATTTATTTATATAAAGAACAAAGATTAATGATATATTGCCAGTTCTGTTCGATAACCTTTTGCCATCTTTCAGTGAGCTTCATAATTACTCCTTTATACAAGGACCTATCTTTACCAGCAAAAAACTGAAATAGGTGCTGATTTACAGCCTCATCTGAATTGAATGTTATAGCATGCAAGGATTTTTGAAGAGAGGAAAACAAGTCTGAAGGTGCTAAGTCAGGTGAGTATAGTAGATGTGACAACACATCTGATCCAAGCTCCAATAATTTTTGACAGGTGATCAAACTTGTGTGTGGTCTCACGTCATCATGATGGAACACAATTCTTTTATGATTAATGAGCTTTGGACATTTCTGAATGAGGGATTCCTTCAAGCTGTCCAGTTGCTGACAGTACACATCTGAAGTGATTGTTTGGTTCTTGATAGGAGCTTGTAAAACATGATACCTTTACAATCCCACCACACTGAGAGCATAACCCTCCTCTGATCTGCTTTTGATGTCGAGGTGAATCATCACATCCAGACCAAGACCATTTGTGCATCACATTGTTATAAACAATCCACTTTTTTTTTTTGAGAGAGAGAGAGATTTTTGCTATAGGTCACATGCGCTTGCCAGAAAGACAGAGAGATAGAAAGCAAGAAATCACCCCCCAGGGAGGATGGCCACACCGCAATCCCTTCTCCATTTTCCTCTCGAGATCTTGGGCATACACACACATGCGCCTGGCGTGAGTTTAAGTCACCAGGTCCATGACTCAAACCGCAGTCGGATACATGTCAGTCCAGCAATATAGCCATTATGCTAACTGCTGGTCCTGAGATAATCCACTTCTCATCGCCAATTATCAGGTTATTTCATAAAAAGGATCATTTTCCCAACATTTACTATTTCACAGATGTTTATATGTGCTGTCAAATGAACTTCTGAGTTCATGAGAAATCCAAATATTGAGCTTTTATGTATCCCAGCTTCTTCAGGTGGTCGTGAACACTTGAATGGTGGATGTTCAATGTTTCTGCAATCTCTTGTGTCGTGTGACATGGATTTGACTTGATCAATGCCTTTATTTTGTCTTCATCAACCTTGGTGGCCCTGCCTGACTGAGGATCATAGTTGAGATCAAAATCAGGAACCATCATTGGCAATGACATTCTTGTAAAGCATTGTCACCGTAAACTGCATACAACTTTTCACTACCTTGATACATATTCTTCCTTTTATGGAAATATAACTGTAAAACATGGCAAAAATGCAGTCTGACCTTCCATCTTCAACTTACTTTAAAATCTCTAAAACTCAATCAAGTGTCTTAATTTTACTTTTAAGAATGAGGCTAGAACTGTCAGCTGTCAAAGGACATACCAATAACATAGATGTGAATGATTCTAGTACTTCTGAAAATGAACTATTACCATCTGTTGCAAACAACCCAACAGTATTATACGTATTACTCCATTTTTACCATTTCTCTGAAAACAGTGGGACATCAGAACACTTTAACTCCATTTAGTCTCCTCTTTTGTGTTATCACTTTTAGGAATTTTAATTCTATGTGTATATAACCCCCAATGTATTACTATTATTGTGTTTACCATTGACATTTATCCATATTACCCATATACCTATCCCTTCTCACTGCTCTTAGCTTGTTCTTTCTTGTATTTTCCACTTCCATCTGGGATTCATATTCCATGTCCCTTTGCAATTATTTTGGTGTAGACTTACTATCAACAAATTTTCTCAGTTTTGTCTTATGCATTTGTGTATTATCATTTTTAGTAACACTTTTGTGTATATAGGATTCTAGGTTGGCTTTATTTTTCGTAAGGATAGTTTCAAACTGTGGCTTCCATTTTTTTTCTTGAGTAGTTAGCTTGTGGGTCTTATTGATGCCCCCATTTGAAGGTAATAGGTCTTTTTCACTCTGGTTGCTTTTAGTATTTTCTCTGTGTCTTCACTTTTTCAAAGGTTTACCATAATTTGTTGGTATTAGGGCATTCAGGCTACTATAACAAAATATCACAGACTGAGTGGCTTATAAGTAACAAATTTATTTCTCACAATTCTAAAGGATGGAAGGTCCGAGATCAAAGTTCTGGCAGATTTGGTATCTGGCAAAGGTCTACTTTTTCATTCACAGATGGCTATGTTCTCATTGTAACCTCAAAGGCAAAAGAGAAGATGTGGTTCATTGGAGTCTCTTTTGTAAGGGCACTACTAATCCTATTAATGAGGGTTCACCCTTATGACCTAATTACCTACTAAAGATCCCACCTCCAAATACACTGGAGATTAAGTTTCTACATATGAATTTGGGGGCTTGGGGACAGATTCAATCTATTGTATTCCAGTCCTGATGCCACAAAATTCACATCTTTCTCACATGCAAAACACATTCATTCAATCCCAATAGCCCAAAAGCATAAACTCAAAAGTGCAGAGTCTCATCTAAATATTATGTAAATCAGAAATGGGTTAGACTCAAGGTACAATTCATCCTGAGGCAAATCCCTCTCCAGCTGAACCTGTGAAACCAACAAGTTATATGCTTCCAAAACACAATTGTTATACATGCACAGAATAAATATTCGTACTCCAAAAGAGAGAAATTGGATATAAGAAGTTACAGATCCTGACGAAATCTACACCCAATAGAGTAAATTTCATCCAACCTTATGACTCCAGAATAATCCTCTTGTGCTTGACATTCTACTTTCCAGATCCACTAGAACTATTGTCCCACCTCCACAGCTATTATGGGTTGGAGTCTTGAGCCTGTCACTCTCAAGTGATGTTTCTGTCTCTACTGCTCTTACTGAATAGAGTTGTACATCTGTGGCTCTTTAGGGCTGGAATCACACACCAGTGGCTTTGCTAGTTGTAGCCTAATTCCCAGGTTTCTAAGAACCAATGGAGACTGTACCATCAGGACACCACCAAAATTTACCAGCTGTGCCCCCAGAAGGCCCGCAAAGGCCACCACAGCCTGCATTACACAAGGACCTGAGCCACATCTGGGGCCAGTTTTGGCCCATGATGTGAAGCTCTGCTGCTGAGCAGTACACACTGAGGTCCCACAGGCATAAATGGCTTTGCCTTTGATACCGCTCTGCTTCCAGGACTTTTGCACTCTGGGTCTATAGTTGAGCTTTGAGAATTTTTATATTGCCCTCAGGGTCATTATTCCATTGTCTTGGTAAACAGATCCTTGCTTATGCAGAGATGGCTGACTCATGGTAATCTCCCCAATATCTTGGTGAACAGAACCAGACTTCTCTTGGGATGACTGATCCATCCTAATCTTATCAAAAGATCCCCTGGCCTCACCCTTAGTGTTCTTTCCCAAATGGGACAGGATAAGAGTTTTCCAAATCTTTAAGTTATGCATCCTTTTTTGATAAATGATTCCATTTAATCATTTCTGTTCTTGCATTTACTATAAGCAGTCAGGAGGAACCACACTGATCAGTCAATGTTTTGCTTAGAGATGCCCTCAGCCAAATATTTATATTTCATTGCTAGCTTCTGCAAACCACTATAACACAAACACAGTTCACCAAATTCTTTGTCACTTAATAATAGTTTTGGCTTTCTTTCATTTCCTAGTGACATGTTTCTCATTGCCACCTGAGCTCTCATCAGAATGGCCTTACTGGCTATATTTCTACATGCTTTTTCAGAATTATTTGTGTGTTCTCTAGGTAGACTGAAGATCTGTCTGTAGCTCTCTTTTCTCTCTGAGCTCTTACCAGAATCACTTTGAAAGATTCACTCACGATAGTG